CCCCAGTTTGACCCTTTTAGTCCCACTAGTGACCTAGACAGAATTCCTCTTTACACTATCAGTATGATATCAAGCAGACAAGTAATGATAATAAATAACGATTATTGGTTGATCCAATTCTAAATTCTCCAACCAAACATCACAGAAATTGTATGGCAGACAGTAAGGAGAATTCCTAATTAAATCTTGAGAGTTAAAGGGTTTAAGACACACATAGTAATCATATTTACCCATACTAGTACTCCAGTAAAGTGCTCTTATGTAGAACGAAGTTTCAAATTCATTGAAATTAAGTAGACTTCATGATTCAGATTTTAGTTAAAGAAACATGTAATATCTCTTTACATGGATGAAAAGAGATGCCATTTATGTGTTTCAAAAATATGGCAGAGCTATTCACTGACATTTTAGTTATTAATTAGCACATAGAGATATAAAAGAGGAAAAAACCAGCGCAGTAAAATTAAAGATTCAGGAGAAGCATATGACATCAACTAGTTTACTGATGTTCTCACCTCAATTCAATCTGGAAAGAGAGCACTGCAACACTTCTGTTTTATCTTCTCACACTTCAATTAAAACATAAAATTTAATTATTTGCTGACAGGTTAAGGAGGAAATTAAAGGAGTGTAAATTTGTTACGTAAAAAGAAACCCCTTATAATAAAAATAAAGTAGAGGCATATTACCTATACGTCTATGCTTCTGAACACAGCCATAAGAGGTATTTTTTAAGCAGTTATCTACATGTGCAAACTGGGTGCATATGCAAACCGGTCGTAAAAGCAATTTTATTCTAACCTCCTTCCTTAAAAGGTGCCTTGTGTATCAAATAAATCAAGTTCAGTACCTCCAGGGTCATGAGCTGGGCTTTTGGGGCTACAAAATAATAAAATAGTCAACGAGTTATTGCAGGCCAATTTATCGAGAGCTAATCGAGTATAGTTTCCTTAAATCGTATGGAAAGTTTAAAATGTGCTTCACTTGTGCTACATATAAGGATTTGTCGTTCTTAATTATTGATGAAAACCCGAGAGTGTGACTCAATTAATTCAAAAGAAAATATCCAAGCAGGTTACAGAAATGGTTCACGAATTGCAAATTGTTAATGTGTGAACAAAACTCCCCGGTACGAATTTATCGTTCACAATCACTCATGAAATTCCAAGATTGTACCTCAATGAATTCAACAGAAAATATCCAGGAAGGTTACAGAATCGGACTCTCAAAAACGGCTCTTAATTCGAAAACTGTAAACAACAATTATTTACGCTAACCACGTGCTTACCAGCGTCCTTGTGAGCTCAAATTACAAGGATCCGGACAGGCTCGTATTATCTGCTGACAAGGGTAATTGTGTTGTGGTTATGGACAAACAGCAATATCACGACAAAGCTTTTTCTCTGCTTAATGACAAGAGTACGTATGCTGTCTTAAACTCTGATCCTACCAGTAAAACTCAAAGAAAGTTAAACAAAATGTTGCTTGTTCGTTAATTCTCCGACTTATGCAGTTTCTGGTTATCTTGCGAGAATTTTGTCGCCTATTGTTGGGAATACTGATTACACTTTCAAAAATTCCTGCGAATTTGCGGATTTCATAAGAGATAAAACTCTTGACGCTTGTGAAGAATTAGTATCCTTCGACGTTGTTTCGCTCTTCACCAAAATCCCAGTTGACCTTGCCGTTAAGGTTGCGGAGGAAAGACTCAGAGAAGATGCTTCCCTAGGACAAAGAACTTCTTTGCCTGTGGAGGATATTATTCATCTGCTGTCTTTTTGCCTCAAAACCACGCAATTTACATATAACGGCACACACTATCAACAAGTTTTTGGTACAGCGATGGGTTCGCCTGTCTCTGCTGTCATTGCTAACATGGTAATGGAAGACGTGGAACAAAGGGCCTTAGCCACTTCACCGGTTAAACCCTTTTTCTGGAAACGATATGTCGATGATGTTATTTCTGCGGTATCCGGAAATGAAGCGGAGCGCCTCTTGTCGCATTTGAATTCAGTAGAGCCGTCGATCCAATTCACCCTTGAGCGTGAAAAGGATAGACATTTGCCCTTTCTTGATTTAAATGTGTCCAGAGGGGTTCAGGGTAATTTAGAGACAAGTGTCTACCGTAAACCTACCCACACCGACAAATACCTCGCTTTCGATTCTCACCACTCTATTTGTCATAAAAAGTCTGTAGCCAAAACTTTATTTAGGAGGGCTGACTGTCTACCACCTTCACTCGATTCGAAGGATGAGGAGAGGAAATATGTTCCAATGTCCTAAAGGCAAATGGCTATACAAAAACTTTTCTCCGTAGCTGCCAAAAACCAGTTACAAATAGTAACGCTCTTGATGAAAGGGAACCAGCGACTGGTTTTGCTGTTATTATTACATACAGGGTGTTACGGAACCCATCAAGAGAATTTTGAATAGCCACAACGTTAAAGTTGCTCAAAAACCTTTTCAGACTTAGGGGCATATTCTCGCCAAGCTTAAGGATCCTGTCACGAAAGAACAACGAACCGACGCCATTTATTCTATTCCTTGCAATGACTGTGACAACGAATACATCGGACAGACCAAACGCCAGTTTGGTACACGGTTAAAAGAGCACCAAAAAGCGGTTTTCTTTGCAAAAAGGAAAATTCAGTTTTATCGGAGCATACTTGCCTAACCAACCATACAATTGGGTGGGATAATTCTAAAATTATCACCACTAATCGGCGTCACCCGTTACCACCAGCGCCTTTGTTTGGAGGCTTGGCATATTAACCCCGCCCACGCTCCTTTAAATCGTGACGATGGCGGTTTGCTTCCTGACGCCTATTTACGCCTCGTCAGAAAAAAGGCCGCTAATTAGTGATCATATAAAAGGACCTCTTGTTGCAGCGTTTAGATAACCCTTGATAAAGGCACTAGACATGAGTGTCGAAACGTTGGGTCTATGAATTGTAACTTCTTCGGTTACATTCATTAAATCTGCAAACCAGTGTAGCATCAATCTATGTCTCCCGGATTATCTAGGATTCTCCCGGATACAGAGCCAATCTCCCGCTTAATTTCTCGCTCAAAACTCAGTTTGCCAATTATTTGCATACGCGGCTCCACAACTACTAGCCCACGTGAAGCCCTCGTGTAATGCCTAACCGTGTGCCCACGGTACGCTGCACTGAAGCTCGACACTCGTGTATGCGCACTTCATTGTCATCTGCCGTTGTCTCCTGGCGCACACTAATGGTGCAATCGCGCCTGCGCTTCTCTTCGCCCTCGCCTTTCCATTACGTAATGGCTAAGATAGTGCCCGTGGTACAGTTGGCCACGCATGCTAAAAGTAGCACCTTGTACAGTAGGTCGTACGATGTCAAGTCCAAACTTTTACCACTATTTGCGCTGCGAGCTCTGCCATAATCTTAAGGTCGTTGGTATTGTCGTGAAGATTTTGGCACGAGGTCTTCTGAAATGCCCCATCGGGCTCTGGCCTCTAATCTCGATCCCTGCGGGGGACAATAACTCATCAAAAAGGCCAAATATACTCACGAAAATGTATAAGCAAGAAATAATACGTGTAATAGGTCTAGTCGAGTTGTTAATAATACAAATATATCAGTATAGCGCCTTTAAATCGTTATTCACGTGGTTAATCAACAACCTGAGAATTAACTCAATTCGGCGCTGAACGGACATTTAAAAGAGAAGATATGAATTTAATATGCCCAAATACCTTAGACGTGGCTTTGTGACTCGTCTCTATGGTATGCGCCGCTTCTGCTTGACTTAAAACATTTTACTAGCTGAAGAAAAAAATTTTTTAAATATTTCACTGCCTTCAAAAATTTTCACAATTCAAGTTATCAAAACTGGAGTTTATTATCTGTAGACTAACTGCAGCTCGAATATTGGTGACAAAAGCTGGTAAGTTATATGTTAGACTTTATCCAATCTATCATCAACGCAATATTCAATGAATTTCGTATGTTTAGGTCACAGAGATGTCGGTACATCCTGTTTTATGTGACTTTTTTTCCGCAATGCCTGTCTCCAAAAGCTTCTGTTGTCACCAGATATATGATTACTTCGCTTTCAATGAGAAATGTCTCTCATTAACTTTTCTCAGAGGGCATGGTAAAGAATCCTGCAATCTGATCGGTTCTTTACGCGGTCCATATTTTCCTATCTCTGCCCTCCGTCTTAAGTACCGTCCGAGGCCATAGGCGTCAGGTGGTACTCAAGACCTCAGGCACAGTTTTTCCCAATACGGACCTCCTGGTTGGCGAATAACAAATACTTACTGCGTAATGCTGAAAGGAACCTAGAAAAAGGAAATGTTCTTCACGCATCCGGACACTTTGAGATGTGAATATAGAAGCGATCCTCGTTGTTATGAACACTACTGAACTAATAGTTGAAATAAGGCCTGAAAAGAATTCAGGCCCTAATGGGATTTGAACTCATAACCTCTGCGATGCCGTTGTAGCGCTCTACCAACTGAACTAAAAACTGAAGCCAACTGGGAACTGGTCATTATGTTGGTTCCAAATAAACCCTCCAACTTATGAATAATGACTGTAAATATATAAAAACCAAACATGTGCACTGCAGTTGAAGAAACGCCTTCAGGTCTTTAATTTCATCTACTAGTTCAGTAGTGTTCATAACTGCGTTCTTCAACCGCGGTGCACATAAATGATTTTCATACATTTGCAGTCACTTTGAGATATGTTTTGAAAGATTTTAAGAACAGAAAACAAGTCAACACTTTGAAGGAACCCTTAAAGCAGCTAATAATCCTTTGTATCATTGTTAATCGCTTAATTCGATGCGAACGTTTAAGGATACGTAAATGTTGGGAAGAGTTTTCAAGGAACTATTCCCAGCGAGTGATTTTGCTTCCTTTCCATTCTGTTTCTACAAACGCTTAAAAAAGAAATCGTTGAAATAACATGGAGGGCTATGAAATGATCTTTCGATATTTGTGTTACTCGTAGGATTTATTGCCAAGTATGGCGAAAGCGTCTGTTTCTACCAAAGAAACGGCCAACTACGCCCGTTTGTGTCGCCTGCTGGTGGATATAGGTTCGGAGGTACTAAGAGATGTATTCGATAGACTGCGTCCAAAAGGAAGCCTTAACAAAGTTTTAATAACTCCTCCGGTAGATTTTACGCTTGCCAACTTAAAAAGGAAACGAATTCTCAACCAGGCTCAGTGGTCAATAATCAACTCATCGTCAGTGTCATCAGAGCAATTTGACATTTCCATGCTAGCTGTCCTTCTTAAGAATATTTGTGGTCTTTCTCCACCGGCGTCTGGCTGGAACACTCTTCCGCACACAGCAGACAATACAGAGGCAGCCGATATCGCCCGTGTCACGATTCTCCGGAACGAAATCTATGCCCACGCCAAACAGGCTTCTGTTGATGACGTACAATTCGAACTGTACTGGATAAATATCAAAGAGGCTTTGGTGAGACTCGGAGGAACCACCTATGAGGTAACCATTGATAAATTGAAAACTGAGGGGATCGACCCTGAGAAGGAGCAATACTATCAGCAGCTTTTGAAAGAATGGAAGGAAAATGAAGAGAGTGTTATGGACGAGCTTGGTGAAATAAAAGGTCGACTGGGGATCATCGATTGCCAAATACAGAAGCTGGACGAAAAATTAGATTTTGCAATGCCAGTCGCAGTATCTGCCGAGGATTTTGACGTTCAAGGTTAGTACCTAATACTATTTTTAAATCATGGAAACAGTGACAGTTCCCAGCATTCGTTACTGGGTGGCGCAAACTTTCGCAAACAGGGTTTCGTGCAATATTCTCTAGCCTAATATGATCTTTCCACTCTGTTAAAGGCCATGCAAAGACCTAACTAACTAATTAACTGATTTTATCGCCATAGTGATTTAAAGTTTCGTCTAACTAGCTACCTTTTCTTGATTAATTCATTCAGTCAATCGAGCATCCATTTCATTCGCTCAATTATAAGTTTATCTATCCGGTGTTATCGATTGAAACCTCGCATGTATAATGTACAATTCTATCTTGCAAAACTTAGTTCTTGCACGGAAAAAAAATCACGCGCAATCAAATGCCGCCAAAAATAATCTCCCTATTGCTCCAAAAAGGTTGCTTTCAATGAACCTGTGTTACTGAGGTATCTTGCATAAGGCGTAAACAAATAAAAAATACTTACACTGGTTGTTATTAAGAAAAAAACTATACCCAAAGCCGCGAAAGGGAAAAAGCATGTAAAGATCTCGCGGTTTCACACAACCGTTTTCACTGCACCTCTTCTTTACGCCTTAAAGCAAACTCAAAACCACTAGTTACCCAAGCTGAGAAGTAGTTTGTATCGCTGATAGAATTACTTAAACATGCCATAAATGTAGATGAAATTCCTTCCCACTCATGGTAAATAGATGTTGCAACGAGTTAGTTTTCCATGTTTTATCTGGTTCCGGACAGAAGTTGACATCTCAAATACTCTGTGACATACAGTAAAAATCCTCTTACAATTTCACTCCAATGCTAGTGCTTTTATCCATTGTAGAATGTAGAGTTCGTCTAGAGAAGCTTTACAACAACTTGAGCCAGGTTAACATTACCCCTTGGGATTCTGACAACACCGTACACATCGATGAAATTTATACCGAGCTGTTTTGGGTCAGGAACAACCGGAAGCCGAGTGGGAAGAAAGAAGAGAAACTTAATGACTATTCCGACGTTTTGAGGGAGCAGAAAAGCAACCCCTACTCAAACAGATTTCTTGTATACGGAATGCCCGGGATCGGAAAATCCACCTTTGCCCAGAAAATCGCTCTCGACTGGGCAAGAGGCAAAAAGGAAATCCTTAAGAAGTTTGATGTACTGCTGATGATCCCGTTACGAAATGTTTGCGACAGTTCAACGTTCCGTGACATTTTGATTGAAGCCAAGCTATTTTCCACAGAAGATCAAAGATTCATTGACGGTCTCAACAGATACATCATTGATCACCAAAATAAAGTTTTGCTGGTTTTGGATGGTTTTGACGAGTACAGCGCCAGCGGGAAGTCGCCAGTGGTACATCGCATTTGGATGGGGGATGAGCTCCGAGAATGCTTCGTCATTTTGACGACGCGACCAGTAAAGGAAGATGATACCAAACGATTCAGCCACTCGCAATTCCAGATCAAAGGATTTGACTGGGCTCGGATCAAAGAATTTGCCATGAAGATCCTGGAAGACGAGCAAAAAGTAGAGATGTTCCTTAATTACATAGAGAAGCACACACTGATGGAGATTGCAGAAATTCCACTTCTTCTACTGATGCTTTGTTTGGTCTGGAAAGAGAGAGATCGCGAAGTTTTACCTGAGGCGAAAGTGCACCTGTACAAAGAGTTCATCCAAACTCTAATCAATCACATGGCTGCAAAAGGCAACGAGGGAAAGTTTGAAAGGATCGATGATTACAAAGGTGATCTTGAAAAAGTTGGAGAGCTAGCATTTAAAGCTTTACTGAGAAATTCTCTTGAGTTTGATTATGAACATCTTCCTATGGAACTTCTGAGTAGCAAATTAATCACCGTCGGCGTCATTCAGATCGTAAAGCTCTTCAGTGCAAAGCCAAAGAAGAAGGTTGCCTTTTTACATAAATCCATTCAAGAGTTCTTGGCAGCTTGGTTTATCATTCACAGGCTAATTCCCTCTTCCAATGACGATCTCTCATGCATGTCCGCCATCGATTCCACCAGAAAAGTGGTCGACTTTCTTGAGGTCCTCAAGTTTGTCTGCGAGTGGTCACCAGAAGGTTCAAGAGCAGTATTGCAGCATCTTGAATGTTTGGGGAAGAGCCAGAATCCTTCCAGAGACGACATAAGCGAAACCCTATTCCTGGAGGATCTGCCGGACGACGACAGGAAATTATTAAAGTTAAGCTTGGAGTGCTTTCTTGCAACACCCAGTGAATCAAAGGCAGCTGTCTACCCGTCACTTTTGAAATCTGTCAGTGGCGTTGTAGTAATACCAGACACACTCCTGCCTCGAGTGGCCGACGGTCATATTGTTGAGGCTAACGCCCTTCCTAATTGTGTTCTACTCGATTTCCAAAGGCATCCATCCTTGAAAGACCGCGGTTACATAGCCTCCATTATGGATGATCTTAACTCAGTAATCGTAACTACGTCAGACGAAGGAAAGGCTTCGGACTTCGTAAGAAGACAGACCAAAGTCGAACTATTGCCCTTTCTGTTCTTAAAGTGCAAGAGAGATAAGATGTGTCTTTACTTCTCTCAGATTTCCAGCGTTGTCATCAGTGCATTGAATGAGGTTACATTAGCATCGATGGGTAACATTCATCATACACGCACGGATCATAAGGAAGCACAAGGCAATGATAGAGCGACCGAAGATGAAAGACGAGCTCGCCGGCACTGCTTTTCATTGGCGAAAAAAATTGACATTGATGAAATACATGGTGACATGGCTATTTCTCATGTTATGCCACTTCTTGCCAGACCCCGCGAGATAGCGTTACAAAGCTTACACGAATCCTCTGAGCCTCAGGTGATCGAATGCCTTGTATCAGGAATTAGCATCACGGAGTGTCTTCAACGTTTGAGACTCCACAAAATATGCTTGACACCACAATCCTTGCCCCTTCTCACGGATGGCTTCCATAAGGCTAGTAACCTGCAAGAGTTGTACCTATCCGAAAATCCTTTGGGAAACAGTATTAGATGCCTGGCAGACAATCTTCATCATGTGCAGAACCTGACTGTTTTGGAGTTGTCAAATGTGCTTATGGATGAAAAAGCCTTCTCAGACCTTGCCTATTCCTTGTGCCATGTTCCTAATTTGAAAGTACTTTCTGTGTCTCGAAACCAACTGCGAACTTCGATCTCAGAGTTGGCAGACAATTTGGAGTACATTCCTCACCTCACCGATTTGGAACTAAGCAATACACAGATGGATGAAGAAGGAGCAAGGGCCCTCGCTAACAACTTACAAGTTCTTACAAAGTTAGAAAATCTGGACATTTCCCACAACCCTCTGGGAAGTGCAGTTGTTGTGATTGCAGATAATCTTTACAGAGCAGCCTGCCTGACTGAGCTCAACATGACAGACACAGAAATGGGTGCCGAAGAGATTACCGCATTAACTAGCTCTCTAAGGTCCTTTCAAAATCTTAGAGTACTGTCCGTTGGTTACAATCCATTAGCGCAAGGAGTATGTGATCTAGTCAAGAATCTCTATAAGATCTCAAAACTCAAGCGACTGAACTTGGAGAATGTTGAGATGGGCGAAGAGGAGGTAGATTGTGTCAAAAACGTCTGGAAAAGAAACCAAAGTCTGACCATTGCTAATGATTATTTTGTAAGTACCTGATGCGTTTCTTATGCGTTTCCTCCACACTTGAGGGTTATCATATTATATTTAGTATTAACAAGATTTATGTAGACTATTACAGCAAACAAACGAACGAAATCGCATGTTTTTAAAACGGTCGTCTGAATGTGAAAATTAATTCCCAAAAGAGATTTCAGTCATCTAAAACAGAAAAATGCTCTCGGAAAAAAAATAGAACTCACAGTGTTCGACCTTCGTTTTTAGGAGGTCACTTTAATTAATAAGCTCTGCGATTACGCAAAAAAAAAAACAAGGGGATATTTATATAACGCGAATCCATTCAGATGTTCTTCCGTCATGTCTTAGTCAGATTGACCACGTGCGGCCCAAGCTCAAACTGTGAGGTAACCATCTTGCAAAATAAGAGTCACGGCGAAATTATAATAGTTCGTAAGGGACTATTTACGACCGCTCAAAGGAATAAAAAGATCCTGTCAAATGCAGTCAAATTGGTCCCCAGCGGGGCACAGTTTGCAAAGGAGGCAGGGTTATCAAGCTGGTTTCACGGGGAAGATTGAGTTTGTAGTGTGTTGAAATGAGACCATAGTATATGTGCTTGAATTCTGCGTTAAATTTGTGGCCGCCCGGTTATTTTGAGCTTGGATTTTTTGCATATCGGGCGATAGGAAATGGAGTCTGCAGCCTTTGGCTTCTCTTATGTAGTAAACGTAGAAATAGATAACTCGCTAAAACGGGTTCTTTTTAACATAGTAAGCGGTCAAATAACAAGCGATGCACTGTGGAAGTAAGGTGACGTAGTTTTATTGAGAATTTGACTGTTTTTTATTCCTAAGAGCGGTAATAAATATTCCCATATAAACCCCCTATAATTTCGCCATGACTCTTATTTCGCAAGATGATCATCTCACAGCTGAAGCTTGGACTGGCTGTGGATTGACCATTTAAAATTTATTTCGTGCATTTGCGTTACAACAGGATGAAAAAGGAGAGCCGAAAAAAGGACGAAGTGCAGAAGAAGCATTGCCAGCTAATTATAGTCGTAGTAAACCAGCAGCCTATGGCGACTTTGACGACTATAATGACTATGATCCCGGATTTGATGACTATGATACCAACTATGATGACTATGATCCCGGGTATGATGACTTTGATCCCAGCTATGACGACTATGATCCCGGCTATGACGACTATGATCCCGACTATGGTGACTGTGAACCCTACTACGACGACTATGGTCCCAGCTATGACGACTTTGGTGCTGATGATTGATTCTTTTTCATAAAGTGAGTGAGTATGAGAGGCACCATAATGGCACTAGGAGGAGTTGTGAGGAATTTCACAATTTTTCAAGGTAACCTTCCTGCAAACTCTTTTAAACAGGTATACCTTAAGTCGTAGAGGACTGGAAAATGAGAGCCAATGATGAGACTTTATATTCTAGAAGAAATACACCTAATTTCAAAATGGCAGCTGCCTCAGATGATCCTTATGCTTATAAGGAAAAAATGCCTCAAAACTGCTGTGTTTCAGAGTGTACAAAGAAGATTTACGAAGAGAACTGAATGAAAATATCTTTTCACAAGTTCCCAGAAGACGAAGATCTGTTCAGAAAGTTGATAGTCGCGATAAGGAGAGATGTTGGAAAAGATTTTAAAGTGATCGATCATACTCGGGTTTGCTCAAGGCACCATGATAGCACTGAGAGGAATGTTAGGAATTTGACAACTTTTTAGAGTAACCTTTCTGGAAACTATTTTAAACAGCTTTACCTTGAAGCCTTGGAGGACTGGAAAATGAAAACAAATAATTAGACTCGGCACCGTGTGAAGTAGGTAGAACTTAACATTCTTCATGCGTGCGTGCTTTTAATTCAGAATGAAGCAAAGTAGAAGAACGTTTGTTAGAACCTTACGAAAGAAAGTTTGGAGTTCTTTTTACGCGTCCTCGTGGACTCAGCTGCTTCGTTGGTATATTTGAAAAGGAGACCACTTGGTACGAACCAGCATCATGAAAAACAAATACAACTGTGAACTTTTTTAAACGAACATTTAAAGAAACATTTGCTTTTTTTTACAGAATTCTAACTTGAGGCCGGGTTTTTTTTACACCTTCAGTACCAGGGATTTGACTGTTACCCCCTTTCGACGTACCGAGTACATTATGTAGGCACACTGCAAATTGTGTAATGTACTCAGTTCGTCACGTGGGCAGTGAAGGGAATAATTGGAGATAAGGTACATTTCTATTTTAATTGAAAAGAAAGAAATATTTATCACGAATGCAGTTACACATTTTTTCATAACTGAGTCGAATATAGATTTGTAAGGTATCTCAGTAATATTCACCTTTGTTTGGGTTCTAATTTGGGGTACAGCCTTATAAAAAAGAATTAAACATATGAACAGTTAAAATCAGAACTTCGTCCGATTATTGTACAATCTTTTCTACGTTGGAATTTGCAGCCAATGGTCATGGGAAAGCCGAATGAGGCGTTTCTTAATTTTTCCTCTGTCCAAGATTTTAGCAAGGACTCTCATCACACGTGTAAACGAGGTCATTTAATTTTCAACTCAAAGCCCTTTCCACCAGAGGCGATTAGGGTCCAAATACTCGATCAAGCGATAGGTGATAAAGGTTTACCTGAAGAGCTCAAGGGCCCTAAACAGCTCTATGAATACTGTCTCTTTATCAGACAGGAAAATAAAATGGACAGTGCTACTCATCTGAGTAGGAAAAGAAAAAGAGCGTATGATGTCGTATCGCTCAAAAATGATCTCTCTCTTTTTTGGGTTCACATTTGCGACCTTGGAGTACACCAGTTTTATATTACCCTGGCTATTTGCCCAACAGATTATTCTACTGAAACTTTATTGTGGAATCCTGTGTCAAATGTAAGATCGTTTTCTTCTTTTCTCCCTTCCCAGATATCGCAGCACGATCTTTCCAGGTAGTAGAATAGGTGCCCTCTTTCTATTACAAACTGCGGAAAATCTATCTTTCGTTTCGTTGAGGGAATTCTGTCGACTCGTACTTTACGCTCTGGAAACTGAATCGAAGAGTTCGGGCCTCAAATTTTGCCGCAGTCACAAGCAGTTTTCCTGAGAAGAGAGACTCTTTTACTCTCACTGTGTCACTGTGTCAGTCTCCAACCAAGAGTTTAACCTACGATCGACAAGCAATTTTATCATGATTAATACTGCAGCAAAACCCTTCCATCAGCTTCCGCGTTGTTTAAGCCACCCAAAGAAGTGATTAAATAGGCTTCAGCTCTGTCTTTCATCAGGAAGTCGATAGTCGTCAAACAAGCTCAGTTTCTGACCGATAAAGAACGCGAAAATTAGGCTGAAAAACGTGATGAGAAGCAAAATTTGCGAGATGCTGAGCTCCTTTTAAAAATTCAAGTCCGAGGAAAAACTGTCACTTTCTCCACTCAAAACAAAAACACGTGCTAAAATGTTTTTAATTTGATTCAAATTTTAAAAGAAACGTAAGAAGAAGGTTGACGGCAAAGACCTGATAAATTTCGCCATGCAATAAAAAGTTTGCGAGATCCGAAATGTTTCAACTGACTTCATCAACAGCTTCAGAGAGAGTCCGTATCGTACTTTGCTTCCCTTCGAGTACAGACTGTGCATGAAAGCAGCAGTAATCTGTTTACACCTATGAATTCTCAACTTAATCATGTACTGATATTTCAGCCTAAATTGTGCCTGAACTTGTTGGTTTTCTCCTAAGACTAAAATATTAGGTAGAGCAATAGCGTTGCTCTGCCTAATCCTTCAAGAAGTCCTTAAGTACCCTCCTCGTAAAGTAGAGCGGGTTGATTCTTTTATCGTTTCATGTGAAAGAATCTGTATATTTCCTTTTTTGTTTGGATTGCGAATCATTATGAAGATTGATTTGCCTCCTTTTTAACTCGTGAATTGCGCGCATGCGCAAGAGCGAGTTATAGATACGATGTGGGGAATGGCATTCGCTCGCTCGCTCGCTCGCTCGCTCGATTGGTCGATTCCTGTAAACTTTTTTTAGATTTTAGGCTTTTGAGTGCATTTTATAGTTTTTGGCGAGCAATAAACAGACGAAATGGCGACCTTTGTTGCTAAGAATAGTGGTGGGGTGAAAAAGAAGCCAATGATAATCTTAAAAGAGTTTTTTTTTTCGTTTTAGTTTCAACAAGCGGCGCCAGCGACTGGCAGGCATGCAAGGATTCACACTGAAATAACAGAACAACCTTCGTTTTTCATAAAATTGTAATTTACAATCCTTGAACTTGAAAACAATCCGAAGATTCATTGAAAATATCACTTACTGCGAAGCGCTCGGAGTTTACAGATGTTCAAAAGCTTTTTCTGTTATAGCGTGAGATTGAGGACAAAATTGATCATTACGTTTCGTCGCGTGCGTTTTTCCTGTGTGAAGCAACAAAAGATGCCGGCGACTGACGAAATAACAAGTTAACACGAAAATCAGATAACACCTAAACAAACAATTTTAGCTACCGATTTTCAGTGAATTTTTAAAGAACAATTTTCTTTTAAGTTTCAAGACAATTTGAAGATTCAACATACATACAACGTACTAAAATGCGAAAGTTACACACCACAAAATTGATAAATAGGCCTGAAATGAAATTCTATCTTGTTATTGATCATACGTTGCCTAGCACGTGACCTAAATCTACCCAGGCGGAGATCCAAAATGACGGTGGCAGGCTTGGCTTAGTTATATCACTCAAAACTCGTTCCCGTTTGTCTCATTTGATAAAGAGGGAATCGTTAATGTTTTCATTAAGACAGTATCGCCTTGATTTTCTAATATTTACAACGAAAGACAGTAAATTTCACTTTTCACCCACATTTACTTCCAACCTTTTCTTTTGAACCAGAAACAAAAATGATAGACGTTTAAAACACATGACATCATCCACCTTGTCAAATGTAATAGCATGATTTGAAAACAATCCGAAGATTCATTGAAAATATCACTTACTGCGAAGCGCTCGGAGTTTACAGATGTTCAAAAGCTTTTTCTGTTATAGCGTGAGATTGAGGACAAAATTGATCATTACGTTTCGTCGCATGCGTTTTTCCTGTGTGAAGCAACAAAAGATGATCAGTTGGTCAGCGGTCAGCGATGGCGGTCGGTCAAATAATTTTTAGCTCCGTTCTTATGTTCACTTTCCACGTGTTTTTACTGTTCAGCTGCTTGAACAATCTAAGCCACTACTCTAATTGGCGGTTTTCCTCAATCGGGCATGGATTTGACACACCGGGAAGCGCCCCAGAACCTTCCTCGATGCCTTATCTCGATCCTAGTAGTTTTTGCCGAATCCGCCATTTTGGATTGAAATCATGGTACAAAAGAATGAAGCGAAGGCGGTTTCTCCGAAGACGGCTTCTGTTCTCAGCTAACGGAACAGCGTCTTTTAACCCATCTCTCCTGGAAAACAATCTTAGCGGCGACATTCATCCACATCCTGGACCAAACTCTACTTCTAATTCTTCATCTACATCGACGAACACAAATATTAGCTTTCCCTGCAACACGAAGTCAAACATCAGGATTGCTCATTTAAATATCCGCTCCTTGAAGTCCAGGGAACACTTCACTCTGCTAAAGGATTCCGTTGTCTCAAATAATTTCGACATCTTTACGATATCAGAGACTTGGCTGGATTCTTCAGTCAACAACGAGAGCATTCATATTCCAGGCTACACTTTGTATAGACAAGACCGTGGCCCGCACAAACCTGGCGGCGGACTATGTGTTTACATTAAGAAAAACTACAAAGTTTCATCACTGGAGAATGTATCCTCAGTTTCTGATAATAACTTTCAGCAATTGTGGCTAAAAGTGCAAAGTCGCTGTTATAAGTCATTCGTCATCTGCACAGTATATCGACCACCGAGTACTCCATTAAATTTTATAGATGATCTTGCCAACAGTCTTATCGAATCCCTCCTGTCAGGTCTTGATGTCATTATATTGGGTGACCTCAATTGCAACCTCCTTCAAGATAACGCAGAATCCCGTGCTTTAAACGATTTTTGCTCTACTTTTAACCTCACCCAATTAATCAATAAACCAACCAGAGCCACGGAGAATGGGGAATCGTTAATCGATGTTGTGATGACCACGAATGAGAAACTAATTGCTTCAAACGACGTCCTTATGTCAACTATTAGCGATCACAATCTTGTCTACATCTCGCTGAAGTTAAAAAAGCCAAGGATCAAGCCCTGTTACGTCACTATTAGAAGCTATACTAATTACAGCGCCGACAATTTCCTACGTGATTTGTCATTTGCGCCTTTTCACATAATAAGCCTATTTGACGATTTCAACGATCAAGTTGATGTATTCAACGAACTGTTCTTGGAAGTACTAAGTCAACATGCTCCAGTCAAGAGGGTTAAAATTAGATCTAAACCTAACCCGTTTATAACACCAGAAATTCGTCAACTAATGAGAACGCGCGACCAATGGCGCAAACTTGCGGGAAAAACAAATGACCCCTTCCACTGGAACGGATACAGATTTTTTCGTCAAGAAGTGAAAAGGGAGATTCGTGTGGCCGAAAAAGTTCACGTCAGGACTCAGATCCTGGATAGCAATGGAAACCCTAATTCAATTTGGAAAATCATTAACCGGTGTCTACCACGTAAACAATAAGATAGTTTTATGGCTTCTGAGGATCCCACTGGGTTAGCTAACGAATTAAATGATTTCTTCATCTCCGTCGGCAGTATTACTGCTCAAAAAGCCAGGGACTTATCTTTACATCATGGACTTAGTGTAAATTTGGACGTGCCGACTCCTTTACACGTATCCACCGACGTTAGCCCCGAATTATTCGTTCTCCATCAAGTCACGGAAAATCAGGTAGAAAGGGTGATTAGAAGCCTACCATCTAACAAAGCTCCTGGAATGGACAAGATATCCTCCAGAATTCTTAAAGACAGTTTACCCAGTACGCTAACAACAATTACCCACATTGTGAATAACTCCTTTGTTACCAACACATTTGCACGTGCATGGAAAACAGCAGAGGTTACACCTATTCTCAAATGCGGTAATCCAGATGTCCCTAACAACTATCGCCCCATCTCATTATTACCAATAGTCTCAAAAGTCACTGAAAGGTTGGTACATGGACAACTTATGGAGCATCTAATTAGAAATAATAAACTGGCAGCACATCAGAGCGGAAATAGAAAGCTTCACTCGACAGAAACAGCTCTGTTGTACGTTACAGATCAGTTGCTCCAGGCTATGGATAACAAGAAAGTTTCCATCATGGTCTTATTAGACATGTCTAAAGCATTTGATAGTATTCGACACGACATCTTGTTATCCAAGCTACAAAATCTCGATTTTTCCCAGGGTGCGTTGAATTGGTTTCAGAG